ACCTTGTAGCAGTACAGGACGAACTCGGTTATGAAGGTGGTTTTTTCCTCGTCGGACGGGTCCATCCTGATTTGGTTGTAGCCCGAGTAGGCATCCAGGAAGCTTAGCAACTCGTGTTCCGAGGTCGCGTCCACTAGGCGGTCGATCCTGGGGAGGGGGAATCAATCTTTTGGGCAAGCTCGGTTCAGGTCGGTGTAGTCGACGCACATGCGCCACTTGCTGTTTGCCTTTTTTACCAGAATGGGGTTGGCTACCCAGCTTGGGTAATGAACTTCCCTTATGAAGTCTGTTGTGAGGAGCTTCTCGACCTCCTCATCGACCGCCCTCCAACGTTCTGGGGCTAAGTTGTGTTTCTTCTGTCTAATGGGTCTGACTACAGGGTCAGTATTGAGCTTGTGAGTTATGAGCATAGGGTCTATGCCGGGCATTTCTGCCGCGGACCAAGCAAAAACATCTAAGTTACTGAGTAAGAAGCGTACCAGTTTAGATCGCAAGGGTTCTTCCAGGGATGCTTCGACCTGAAGTAATCTGGTGGGGTCTTCTGCCGAGACAGAGATGGGAACAGTTTCCTCCGTTGGCGCAGCTCGCTCCTCGTTCTGTTCCACTGGTCGCTCCAATTCGAGGTCGCCGGTTACCTTGACCTTTCCATTGAGGGCGGCAACGTAGAACTTACGGGAATCGAGCTGGTCACCCCGCACTACCTCGATGCCGAAGTCCGTTGGGAACTTCATGGCCAAATAGTAAGTGGACACTACGGCTTTTAAAGCATGGGTGATCGGCTGACCTACTATGGCATTGTAGGGGGAGGGGGTCGCGACCACCAAGAAATCGTGATTGAGTCTTACCGTGCTAGGTCACGTGCCGACTTCCACAGGTACTGTGACCTTTCCCAGGGGTCTGACCTCTTCTCCGCTGAAGCCGACCAACGGGGTGTTCGCGGGCTTCAAGTCACTCTCTCGGAACTGGAGCTTGTCCAAGGCCGCTTTAAAAAGGATGTCTGCCGAACTTCCGGAGTCAATGAGTACCCGTCGGACTTCGAAGTCGTTGATCTTCATCTTTATGACAAGTGCGTCGTCGTGGGTGTAGTGGACACCGCGTGCATCGTCTTCGGTGAAGAATATGGGGTCTTTCGTCCTAGGCCGCTTTGGGGGATTTTGTTCTTCTCTGGCGGCCTCTCGGGTTGATGCCTGAGCTGCTACCGAGGTGCATCCTGTTACGATCGATCCTCCAACGATCACATGGATTGTTCCCCGAACTGATCTTTCGTCCGGGGGCTGCTTCTGTGGTTCGGCTGGCCGGATGCTGGACTCGAGAGCATCTCTGTTGTGCTCTCCCTGCCGACCTGTCTTATTACTATTACTGTTATTATTATTATGTTGTACAAAATTTCTTAGGTACCCGCGACAGATAAGTTCTTCTATCTCGTCGTGGAGATTATTACAATGTTCGGTGCTATGGCCGTGGTCTCTATGGAAACTGCAGTACAAGTTTTTATTCCTCTCGTTCGGGTTTCCCTTCAGACGAGGTGGCCACTTTACGTATGGGGCATCTTTGATCGTCATTAAGATCTCGGCCCGCTTCGCGTTTAAGGGCGTGTAGTCCGTCCGACCTACTAAGGGAGCTCGGAACGACTGGCTTGGCTTCGTCCCCCGAGGTGGGTCTTTCTTTCTCTTGTCATCTGGGTTGGAGGGTTTGCCTTCCCTCTTCCTTTTTTCGATCATGCTTTCAGTCCTTTGGTTGATCTCCTCTTTTGTTCTTATGAATTTGTCCGCGAGCTTGAGGAATTCAGCTACAGTCGCGGGCTGGTTGACTACAATGTGCCATCTGAACTCCTTGTGTGTCACACCCCTCTTGGTTGCCGCGAGTTGTACCGCGGGGTCTAGGCGTGGTATCTGCAAACACGCGTCATTGAACCGTTTGACATAGCCCCGGATGGACTCTCCTTCCCTCTGGACTATTCCGAGGAGGCTCTCCTCGGTTCGGGGGCACCGCTTTCTAGTAACGAAGTGCGCGGTGAAGACTTGCACGAACTGTGTCCAGCTCCTTATCGACCTGGGAGCCAGGTTCCTGTACCAGGTGCGGGCCACTCCCCTAAAGGTGGTAGTGAAGGCGACACATATGCAGGACTCGCTGGCCCTCGCCAGGTGCATTTGGGACTGGAAAGCATCGACGTGGTCGTTGGGGTCAAAGGACCCATCATACTTGTGTAGGGGAGGAAGTTTGAAATCTTTGGGCATGAGAACTACAAGGAGTTCTGATGACAGGGGGGAAGGAACTGAAAGAATAGGGGCAACTTTTACCTTGTCCGAGCTTGTTTCTTTACCTCGGAGCTTGGGCAGGACGCGGGTGGTAGTTCGGTGACTTCGCCAGTGTCTTCGCTGCTGAGAAGGCCTAGTATTGGTGCTACTTGCCTCGGTGTTACCGAGCTCGATCGGCCCGGACTGTTGGTAGTCCGTGGCCAGGACTGATTCGCCGGCGAGCTGCGAGGCGGGGGTGATTGGTCTTTCCCTCCTGCCCGGGGATGAGGCCTGGCTCCTGGAGGGGTTCTGAAGCTGGAAGGCTTCCCCTCGGTGAAGGTGCCCGCCCTGAGGGGAGGGCTTGACCGGCTTCGGAGCAGGGTGCCGAGGTGGAAGCTGTGGTTGGTTTAGAGGCAGTTGGGGGAACTGCTGTTGGTAGTGGTGCTGGGAAATGTGGTGCAGTACTTGCTGCTGATGGAGCTGATGTTGCTGGAACTGCTGCATTTGGGCTTGCATTGCCCGCATGCACTACATCAAGTCATCAAACTGGTTCTGGCTAGTCGCCAAAGGGACAGCAGTTGGTTCGACGAAAGTTGTCTCGATAGGGAGGGGAAGGGGAACATTCACAGGTGCCACCATGCTTGGTGCATTGAGGCTAGGGATTCCGTCCGTCGAGAGGGGGACGGTGAACTGTCCGATGCATACAGTGGCGGGCTGAGGGTGTTCCTCTACAGCATTCGAGTTGGCGTTGTGCCTGTTGCTGCTGGAGGAAGCCATGGAAGCTAAGGTTTCTTTGAGAGAGAGAGAGAGTTAAAGGTTAGGGGAGGCTTTTTGAAGTCTTCCCACAGACGGCACCAAATGATGATGCGTAATCCGGTCGGTCCTAGCTGCCGGTTACCTTGCCTCTGACGAGATTGGAGGTGCCTGAAACAAGGAAGAAATTGGAGACTTCCGGGGAGGAACCCGGTTGGAACATTCCGAAGCTCAAGTCAGTGCTCTAGAGAAGGCAAGGGAAAATGAGAGACTTCAAGACCAGAAAGTACTGAAATCACATACCTCCTTCTTTGGGAGATGGGGGCCTTTTATAATCACCTTGTACACTCACTCCCATACCTCTRCCAGATCGGGCATCATCACCTCCGCCAGATCGGGTGTCACCACCCCTGCCAGACGCCAGCTTGGGTGTCATAACCTCCGTCAGTTGCCAGTTCGGGTGTCATGACCTCCACTGTCCTTGTTAGGGTCGTCTCTGCCACGTCTGAGATGGCGGTGGCAGGTGGTCGTTGGAGGGCAACTGTCATGTGTCAGACCCCTAATCAGTCAGGCGCGCCGCCTCCGTGTACGGGCTTCTTGGGTATCAGGTACGGTTGTTCAGTCAGGCGACTTGGAGCCGAAGTGTGCGAGGTGAAGTCTTGAGTTCAGATAGAAGTGTGGCCGAGCTGCCCCGGGGTGGGTCAGCTTGGGTTTTTGCCCTTTGCGCTCCTTGTAAGGCTCGGGACCTCTAAGGGAGAGCTCGGATTCTTCCTTGGGGAGCTCGGGTCGTGGGTTCCTTCTTTTTGGGGGAGCTCGGGACTCCTTTCCCCAGAGCTCGGGTTGTGGGTCCGTTGCCGTGCCGAGCTAGCGCTTCTGCCAGGTCACTCTTGGTTGCTTCCACGTGTCGCATGGCCAAGGGGTCGGGCCAAATCTCCCTCCATCAGAACCCAAACCAGATCAAACCGTTTTGTTATTGTTTGGTGCAGTTTTTAATACAGTTTAGGAAGCTTTGAACCATTCTTTGATTTTATTAGGATTAACCCAATTAGAAAGCCCAAATAACACCTCTAAAAATTAAAACTTATAACTTTTTTTTTATTATTTATTATAAGATAAAAGAGTTTTTTATATATTTATAATTTTATACGTTCAATTTAGATATTATATATTATATATAATATTTATACATCATTTAAATATACATGTATATTTATAGATTTATATTATATATAATTTTGATTTATGTTTTACGGTTTTATTCGGTTTATAAAGTCCAAAAAGCCAAATTGAAACTGCAAATCACAATTTAACAAAATATGAAATCAAACAAAATCATTTTTAGCGTGCAGATCGAACCAAACCTTAAATTTTTTCTTGAATTCGATTTTGCGGTTTGAACGAAACAGTGAACACCCCAAACCAATTTGAGCTCTCGGGATTTCTCACTAAACATTGCCTTCTAGGCTGTTTATGTGGGGCTCACCTTGGAAAGCCAGGCGCGCTGCTCTTCAGCAGCTTTCAGATGAAGGCGGAGGCTTTGTAAAGAGAGCCGCTTCTAAAGACCCGAATCATTTCCATATGAACACAATTTGTAGAAGGCAAGGCATTTGCTCTGTTTGTAATTCATGAAGGGGACGCCCTTTTAAACAGTGTACTTCACCGTTTAATTTAATTGGTCAAACATTTCACTGTTTCTCCTGTAGTTCGAGCGAGATTAGAAATGATTTGATCTCCTGAAGAATTCTAGATAAGGGTGATATGTCGAAACTGTTCGCAAAGATATCTGGTTTTTTCAGCTCGCGAACTCTGGTTGGGGTCGACAAGGCCGGCAATCGATATTTTACCAGAAAAGAAGAGATCGATGGAATCAGTGAGTGAACTCAAATTTCCTTCTATCTCTCTTCCTTGAACACCTTGTAGGTTATTATGCTTGTTTTATTTATTTATTTATTTTTCACATTTCCTGGTGCTGCTTATTGTTAACTCGTATTCCATTCGAGTGTTCCTACTTCATAATCTATGGACATTTTATGCTCATTGGTTGATTTCACGAGGCCAGAAGACACTCTTCTCCGACATGATTCTCAGACCTGTCGAACGCTGTTGGGTTAATTCAACAGTTCCCATTGAGACTGGGAAGGGGTAGCAATAGTAAGGCCAACATGGTGTTCCTTTGTGAACGGTGAAGTCATTGCGCCAAATTGGTTTATCTGGCAATAACTATTTGATGATTAAAAGTAGCATTTCCATGCATTTGTTGAAACCGTTCTCGTTGAACAAACAAAATTACATTGTTGTATTTTGAATTGGTGTGCCTGTACATTTCTTACTGTCAAAAATCGTAATTGGGAACTTAACTTTATGCTGTGTGGTCACTAGTGAAAGAGAAAAGATGGGTGATATTCAAAGGAGAGACGGATCCAACTTCTATTCCGGGTACGGTTTTAGTGTAAATACATTTACTTGTATTGTTTTGGAAATATGCCTGTTCATTCTTTTAGTTAACTTTATTATGCTGAGAAATCTACATTGTTGGATTAATTTGTTCAATCTGATATTTTTGTCTTCAACTATTACCAAGATGTATATTTCTTGAATGAAATTCTGAAACATGGGATAGAATGGAATGTATGGCTCTAGATAGGAATGGCTGGACACCCAATCACCGTTTCTGATCCTTTCCCCGACATAGTTGTAAGAAGGAAATAGCAACAATGATGATCTGAAGTATATTTGATTTGATGGATAAGTTGAACCCACTTCAGTGACAAAATGGCTTATTTTTCTCATCCATTAATTATTTTTCATGTTTGGTGACTGTAGTTGAGTGGATATGCTGGTTGAATGGGCAAAGGAAGAAAGCTCCTACTCCTGAGGTAACATGGCTATATGTGTTTTATCTTTTTCTTTGCTTCCAATGAATTAACTTCCATATAATGTTTTCCCAATTTGCTTGGGGAGGGGATTCTCCACTCACATACACATATATACACGTATGTCCATGAACTAAATAGGCTTGTAACCGATGAAGATCCTTAGTTAACCTGTTTTTGTCTTTCTGAGGAGCATATCAAATCTTTTCTCTGCCAGCATGGCTTTTTAATAAATTTTCACTGATAAAAATAAAGAATGCATTAAATAGACGAATAAAAACACAAGAAGAATATAGAAATTGAATCCAATATTACATCAAATAAAGTGGTTAAAATACAGAAAATGAGAAAATACAAGCTGAAGTTCCAAGATTCTCAAGAATAAGTACAAATAGCTATTCCATGACAAAGGGATCCCAAGCCATTGGCTTCATCTAACCAAGTTGTTTACTTTGGAAGTAAAGTGTAGCTTTCGTTATGTGATGCTGCAATGGCTAGGGTCCAGTTGATTCATCCGTCACCATAGAATGAGTACCTGACTGAATAATTAATTTTTTTTTTCCTGTAAATGAGTTTAATTATACATCGCTTGTAAGAAATTCTAAACTACACATACATCAGTTGCAGCTTAAACTTTGAACCAGGATAATATTGGAAAGCATACTGTAAGTTCTTGGGTAGAAAATAGTTGGAGGATATTGCTTCTCTTCTTGACTTCCTAAAGGATATTTATCTTTTTCTATCTACTCTCAACTGATGTGTAAGGCAGTGGGATGCCAGTGGTCTGTAGAGTTCTGAAAGTTGGAGTAACACCGCTGCAAAGGGGTTTGAATCTTTGAGAGCTTCGGTTGATGAAGATTACAGATCTTTGCAACTTAGAAGTAATAGGAGAAAGAGAAAGGGAGGGTGAGCTCTATAGAGGAGTTGCAGAAGGGTTACAGAATGAGGAAATTAGGGTTTCTTGAGGAGGAAGATGAAGTCCTCCAAAAAGGAAGTGTGCTCTGGAGAGCTAAAGTTTGGAAGGCTCTAGGGAGAGTTGATAATGGGGAGTGTAGTGCATTGTTGAGTTACTGGGTTGATCTGTTGTTTGTTGTCTCCATCCCCTTATTAGGTGTCCTGCTACACTTTTATAGACGATTGTCATGCAAATCATGCCTGATTCGGGAATATTCTTGTCAGAAAAGTGTCTTAGTTATGCCAGCTCGGTGCAGGTGGTTACAAGAGTGTTAAGAAACTCGGTACCAAGCAGAGAACTTTCCCTGAATACTCACATGTTGTCCTGCCACATGTCCCCACCTTGTGCTTTGCTTCACTCGCTATAGTGTTTATAGTAATTTTCTTTGCATGCCTTTAAGAGCTTAGATGAGAGTTTGCAGGGTCCTTTTATCAATGGATGGTGTTGGGCATGTCCATGCTTACACGATGCATTTAGTTATGCCAGCTTGGTGCAGGTTGTTACAGGAGTGTAAAGAAACTCAGTACAAAGCAGAGAACTTTTCCTGAGTACTCATGTGTCGTCCTGCCACATGTCCCCACCTTGTTCTTTGCTTCGCTCGCTATAGTGTTTATAGTAATTTGCTTCACATGCCTTTAAGAGCTTAGGTGAGAGTTTTGTAGGGTGCTTTTGTCAATGGATGGTGTTGGGCATGTCCATGCTTACACGATGCATTTGGTCCCCATCTCCCTTTAGTTAATTTACATTTAAATTGCTTTTATATGCATCAACTCCAATCCCAATTATAGTACTTTCCTATGGAGAAGTCTTTGACAAATAGAGTTTATTTTTTCACATGTGAAGCTTTTTTTGTGGACAAATTAACATTTGTTAGTTATTGCAGGATCAATGTTTTAAAAGTGAAAGGCACAAGGGCCATTTTGTGCCTGAGGCACAAGGCGCAAGGCGAGGCACATGCCTTTTTGAAGGGTATAATTAAAAGACATATTCCTAAACTTCAAATTAAATTAAATGATTAACAAACAACCTATTAATATGTCAAATAACAACCAAAAATCTGAAATAATCAAGTTCTCAAGTACTCACCAATGACCAATCAACATTACGTTCAAGACTCCAAGCAAGCTACAAGCCATTAATGCAATACAATGAACAATCACATAGAGTTAGAGTCATGTCATAGTCATACTATCATAGGCAATTTTCTTTCAAAAAAAAAAAAGAGACAGACAATTTTCTTTCAAAAAGAGACATAGATTATAGACATAGAGTCATAGACAGTTTTCTACCCAAAAAATGAGTCATAGTAAATTTTCTACAAAACAAAAGTCAGAGACAAATTTCTATACAAAAAAGGGTCTAAGGTTTCAGCCATTCTTCAAGACTCAATCAGCATCCTCTTCATCTTCACTTGGAAGTTCAACTTCATCTTCATTGTCATCTGACTTGTAGTCATCAAAATCCTCTTCCATTTCTTCTTCAACTTCAACATCAACTTCTTCCTCTTCTTCATCTTCCAATTGAAGTTGTCTTGGTCTTTTTCTACTAGATTTTGTTGCTCTTGCTTGTGAAGTTCAAGCTCTAGACCTTGTATACCTTAGTGGCTCTTCAACTCCAGAAGCATGAGCAACATCTCCCCATGTTAGTGTATCATCATCAAACACCAAATCAGCTTCTGCACCATCTTACCTCCTCTATTAACCATTCATTACTCTCATCTATATCTTTTAATGAAATGGGGTCATTGGTGCTACGTGAGTCAAAGCTTTCTTTAAGCATCTGATTGAACTTAACAAATACCAAGTCATTCAATCGCTTCTGATCCAACCGATTTCTTTTCTTAGTATGAATCTGTTAATTCAAAAAATTGAACAAGTGTAAATTTAAGATAGTTTATAAAAAAATGGAAGTATTCTAGTGTAGTAGTTTGGCATACATGCTCAAATACGCTCCAATTTTGCTCACACCCCGATGCACTACATGTCAAACTTAGAACTTTCACTGCAATCTTTTGTAGATTCGGGGTAGAAGCACCAAATATGGTCCACCAATCATCTAAAAAATATAAATATTAACTGAATTAGTGATCATTAGACTAACTGAAAATATTAAGAGAATCAAATATTATATTAATTATTAAATCAATGTTATTTACCTGGTGCTTTAATCTTCCTCTGGGAAATAGCCATATCAAAACCAAAAATGCCTTCTGCATTCTTGTACTTGGATATTTCATCAGTGATTACACTTTTCTTGCTCTTGTCCTTCTCAATCATCTCAATTACTTTAAAAAGCCCCATCATAACCTCTTCATCTATTTCAATTCTCTCTTGATCATCATAATAAAATTGGGGGTTCAAAAAGTAACCAGCTGCATGTAATGGTTGGTGGAGTTGGCATTCCCACCTCTTATCAATAATTTAAAAAATGTCTTCATATTTTTCTTTCCTTCCACCAAATGCCTTGTCAATTGCCTCCTTTGCTCGGTCCATAGCCTCATAAATATAACCTATGGAAGGCTTGTTTTCACAATCCACCAACCTTAATACACAAACAAGGGGGCCACACACTTTAAAAGTAAAGATGACATTATTCCAAAATGTGGGCATCATGATTGTCTCCCCTATTCTTTTCCCTTTTGCTTCTTTTATCCATTTTCTATCATTCCATTCCTTTGAGTTGAACAAATCTCTCAAATTCTTCTTTTATGTGTATATATTCTCCAATGTGAGAAAGGAAGTAGCAAAACGGGTTTTTGCTGGCCTAATCAATTCTCTCTGATTTGTGAACTTCCTCATCAGGTTCAATAAATCTGGATGGTTATAGATATACCCCATAAGTGCAATTGCCTTCTCAATTGTTCTCTTCACAGTAGGCAACTTTCCAATGTCTCCCAATATCAAGTCCAAACAATGGGCAACACACGGTGTCCATGTCAGATGAGGATGCTTTGCCATAAAAAAACTTCCCTACTAATACAAGAAAACAATTCAAGAAATAAGAATTAAGAAATGTGACTCTAACATGTCAAAAGACTAGAGGAAAGTTAAATAGAAATAATAACAAAGTATAAAATTCACCAGTTAGGAGATAATTTGATGCGTTGTCAGTAATAACTTGGAGAACAATTTTCTCACCAATTCTCTCCACCATCTTGTCAAGCAATATAAATAACCTCTCAGCTGTTTTTACTTCACTTGAAACATCAATGCTCTCTATAAACATTGTCCCCGCACGGCTATTGACCAAAAAATTTATGAGGGTCCTATCCTTTCTATCCGTCCACCCATCAGACATAAGAGATCAACCCCATTTTTCCCAAGACTCCTTATGGTGTTGAAGCAATGTTTTTGTATAATCAACCTCCTTCAAGAGAGGAACTCACAACTCATGGTAACTTGGGATTTTTAATCCTGAACCAAATTGCCCTATTGCCTCTACCATTGCTTCAAAACTTTTCAAGCGTACGGTATTCAAGGGAATACTAGCTTGATAAAACCATCTAGCAATGCGTATGCACACTTGCTCTCTCCCTTTATTATACGCACCACTACTAGTATCTTTTTCTGTTCTCTTCTCAAACTCACAATTTCTTCTGGGCTTGGAGTAGGAAAAAAAATTATCCAAAGGCCCCTTTTGCCTTCTTATGGGGGGCTGTTTAGAACTTCTTTTTGAACCTGAAGCAGAAGGAATGTGATCACCACCACCAAGCACTTCCACCTTGTCCCCCATCTCATCTTCATCTTCAATTATATTTTCAAAATCATCAAGTTGCAGCGGCGATTTCTTCCTCCAAACACAACTCTCCAGCTGCAGGCTCGATGATAAGCTCTAGTTTGGGGCTTGCTTGGGTGTCGAGATCGGTTTCCTACTCTACTAGTCCAGAGAAGCTGAATCCAAGGTACAATAGAACAAAGAACATAGATGAAACATTAGATTCTGGGTGGATAAGTTTAGAGGACAGTACGGAAGGAGAGAACTCTGAAGGTTTTAGCCTTGGAAGTATTCAAAGCAAGTGCCACTCTCAGCTTGGGGAAGAAGTGGAAGA